AGCCCCCTATAATATCATAGTTGGAGAAAGGCATGGCCACCTACTTCAGTATTCTTGCCTGGAGAATCCCATGGACAGAGGAGCTTGGCGGGCTCCATGCGGTCAGTCCATGGAGTCACAAAGAGTGAGACACGACTGAACGACCAGCACTAATGTCATAGTGTTTAGAGCAATAGGCCTCTATTCTCAAAATTCCACTTCTACAGTAACTGTTCTCCTCTACTGTCATAGTTCCCCCTCTGTAATAATAGTCCTCCTTAATTGTATTACTCCCCTTCTATTGTCATTGCCCCCCCACAGTAATAGTACCACTTCTACAATATTAGCACTTCTCTATTGTCATAGTAACAGTTTCCCCTATAGGGTAACAGTTCTCTATTAGAGAACTAATAGAGTAATAGTTCTCCTTTATTGTCATAGTCCTCCACCCCATACACTAATAGTTCTGTCTCTATTGTCATACTTCACTTTGTATTGTCATAGTCCCCCCTCTGCATTAAAAGCCTTTCCTCTACTGAAATAACCCCCCTAACTAATATCATAGTCCTACTACATAGTGATAGTCCCTCCTCTATTGTCAAAGATTCCCTTCTACAGTAGTACTGCCACAGTCCCTTCTCTGCAATAACAGTCCTCCTTGATTGGAGTAGTACACTTAAATGATAACAGTCTGTCTATACTATCCCTCTTCTAGAGTAAAAGTCCTCCATTGCTATCATCTCTCTCTACAGTAAACATCCCCTTCTACTGTCATAGTCCACTCCCTGTTGTAATAAGTCTGTCTCTGTGGTAATAGTCTCTCATCTAATAACCTCCCTCTGTTGTCACTATTCCCCTTCCACAGCCAAAGTCCCCCTTCTACTATAACAATCCTGCCTCTATTGTCATAGTTTCCCCTCTACACTAATAGTCCTCTTCTGTTGTCCCTACTCTATGTTAATAGTCCCTTCTCTATCATAATAGTTCCCCCTCTATAGTAATAGTCTTCCTCAGTTTCAGTAGTCCCTTTCTATTGTAATAATCCCTGTCTGCAGTTATAGACCCCCATCCATTATAATAGTCCCCTCTAAGGTAATCGTCCTTACTATTATAATAGTCCCTCTCCCTTTGTCATAGTCCCCTTTTACAGTAACAGTCCCCACTCTACAATGATAGACCACCCTCTACTATAATAGTCTCACATATACTATAATAATCCTCTCTCAACAGTGAGAGTCCTCCTCTATTGTAATAGCCCCCCTAAATGGTAAGAGTCCTCCCTGCATAAATAGTTCTGCCTTTTCTGTAATAGTCCCCCTCTACAGAATGGTCCCCTCTATTGTAATAGTTCCCTTTATTATGATAGTTCTCTGTGTTGTCATAGTCCCTCCCCTACTGTAACAGCGCCCATGGTATCAGAGTCACCCTACTATAACTTTCCCACTCCACGGTAATAGTCCCCCACTACAGTAAAGGTCCTCTTTATTATGAGTCCCCTCTCCACAGTAGGGCTTCCCTGGTGGCTCAGCTGGTAAACAATCCACCTGTATTGCCGGAGACCTGGGTTCAGTCCCTGGGTTGGGAAGATCCCCTGGAGAAGGGAAAGGTTACCCACTCTAGTATTCTGGCCTGGAGAATTCCATGGCCTGTATAGAGTCAGACACGACTGATCAACATTCACTTTCTCCACAGTAACATCCCCCCCATATGGCCATAGCCCCACTCCTCTATCATATTAGTCCCCTCTCTACAGTAATATTGCCCCTTGTACAAATTATGTCCTACCTCTATGTAATCATCCCCTCTCTAGAGTAATAGACCCTCTGCCTGAAGAAATCATCCTCCTATAATAGTCCACCTTCCCCTTCACAATAACCCTTCAGAATAAAAGTATCTTCTCTAATCCAAATAGTCAAGGAGATGCAAGTAGAACACACAGCAAAACAGTATGTCAGAACCCCCAGCATGGCACCATGGGGAGCCCCTGTGGATGTGTATGCCCCACCACATAGGGCTCCTTTGGTGTGTCTGTGTCACCATCCTGGAGACACCTGTGGGTGTATGTCTGTCTTCCCCTCAAAGAGGAGACCTCAGCAAAATACAGGTCACCTGGCCACTGGGTGTCATTTCCACAACTCTCCCCACAACACAGGTCACCTGCCCACTCCTGAGCCCTACTGTCTCCACATAGCTGGACTTCTATCCATCAGAATCCAGGTCAATGTGCAACAAATGCTTAATCTTCCCATTTGGACTGGCCTGAGATGGTGGTGGGTTCAATATGATGGGAGGAATAATGTTCGATGCCTGTGGACACCAATCCTGTACTAGAAAGACACTCTCCCATCTCCCAGGTACATGTCTGTGGGTCACCTACTCTCTGTTCCTCCAGCGCCTCCTCCCGCTCCTGCATGGACACGTTCTCTTGGTCCTCTGCCACCACCACTTCCACCTCCTCGATGATGTCTTCCACCAGCTGCTGGAGCACTCGACAATCCCCACCACCTCTTCCTCCTCCAGGGGGAGGCTCCTCCTGCCTCCATGGCCTTCCCACTGCAGAAAGCAGCCTCTTCGCCTGCTGGGCCACCAGCTGCCTGAAACCTCCCGAACAGCCCCACCGCGCTGGCAGGTCTCAGGGCCCGTGCACCCTGAATGCTCGGGCTAAACCCGAAGACGACCCAGGGTCTCCGTGAGCAAGAGGGCCCAAGGATGAAGGATTCTGACAAAGGTACTTGAGTTTGCCTGCCTCCGGGATCATTGCCTGGGTCTCCCATGCTGTAAGAAGAGCTATTCTGATTGAGACTAGCATGCATGATGTCCCCAAGCCTCCAGTCATGGCCTGTCACCTGCTACCCGCATGACCTGAAGCCAGGCTCTGATCCAGGCGGCATGAGCCTGAGCTTCCCCACTGGGGAAAGGAGAGGGTCCTGGCCTCTCCATGGATATGCCTTCAGGCCTCACGATCTGATCCCCTCACAACCTCTGTGCCTCGTCACTTCCCACTCATGGCAGGACATTTCCTCCCAGGGGTAGTGCTGCAGGGGATGGACCCACAGGCCCTGGCCACTGACGTGCTGGCCCCACGAGGAAGGTCCCTATAGGGCCGACTGGACCCCGAGCCTTCCCAGGGGCATCCGAGGACCCTGACCTCAGTCGACCTGTCTGGGGATGCCAAGAGAGATACCACCTCTGCAATCCTCTTCCATCTCGCAGATTTGTGGTCAAACAACCAGTTGAGAACGTTCAGGCTGCGGCTGTCCAGCCTGAGGCAGAGAGCTCCCCATGCGTCATCAGAGAACCAGTGGACTCGAGAGGAAATACATGCCCTATATCCTGGAGGAGGACCAGGGAGACAGTGAGGAAGGTTCAGGTAGGAGGAGCATCTGCTCCCTCTCCCCCCGACCCACACCACCTTGGCAGCCAGGTCGTACCAGCAGTGCCAGAGTAGTACTCCTTAATGATCACTGTGTTCCTGAAAGATGGGGGTGTCCTGAAAGACGGGGTTGTCCCGAAAGGACAACACCAGCTTGCAGCGGGACTGGGGAGGGCCTAGTTCCCTCACCTGTCAGGACCAACCTGGAGGATGCACTAGGTGAAGGTGCAAGCTCTCAGTTCCTCAGCTTGCCTGCCAGGAAAGCATCAGCATCTTGCATTTTTCCTTTCCAAAGGCTCACATTGAACACACACACCAGGGTTATAGGAGCCCCCCACACCCATGTGCCTGCCTAGCACACCCACCCACCTGCCCTCAGGCTCCCTCCCTGCCCTTCAAGTCCATCATGTTGTTCAGCACGTCTTCATCTTGGGCACTGATAATGACAGGCACCAGGCATGGGTTCATAATCTGCTTTAGGTCAAGGGGCCAGTCATGCCACATGCCAGGTTGCAAGAGTCTTGTGTGAGAGGATTAGGCTCGGGCATTGCAAGGACTACAGAACAGGCATCTGCAGCCAGGGCTCCGGGTACTCCTGCTTGCCCAGCCGCCACAAAGACAGGCCCAGCCCCTGCCATACCCTCAGACCTGCTCATCCCTCTGGGCCTAATGTGGTTTGCTGAGACCCTGGTCCGCATCTCCCAAGGGAGGATCTGTTTTTGACCACGCCTGATGTACGCCTGATGTGTGTCCAGGGTCCTGCATGTCAGTTGCTTAAAACTTGGACATGAGAGTTGGTCTATAAAGAGGGTTCCCTTACTCTGCAGCCTCTCCATCATTTACGGTTTGTTGACATTAGGATAGCCACCATCCTGACCAGAATGAGATGATAGCTCATTGAGGTTTTGATTTGCATTTCTATGATAATGAGTGATGTTGAGCGTCTTTTCATGTGTTTGTTAGTCATCTGTATGTCTTCTTTGGAGACATGTCTGTTTACATCTTGGGCACATTTTTTGATTGGGTGGTTTACATTTCTGGAATTGAGCTGCAGGAGCTGCTTGTATATTTTTGAAATTAATTCTTTGTATGTTGCTTCGTTTGATATTTTCTCTTCCATTCTGAATGTTCCTTTGACCTTGCTTATACTTTCCTTCGATGTGCACAAGCTTTTAAGTTTAATTAGGTCCCATTAATTTATTTTTGCTTTTATTTCCATTACTCTTGGAGGTGGGTCCTGGAGGATCCTGCTGTAAATGTCTATTTCTATTCACTGTTGTTTTACTTTGAAATAGGGTTATTTCTGATACAGTTTCTTGGAGGGGAAGAGGATCTGGATTCAGTGGTACGCAGACATTATCAATAGTTTTTTGGGTTCCTTTTCCTCAGAGAGATGATTACAGTGGCCCCCATCACCTGGTGATTCCCTCATCTACATCCCTTCTCCGACTTCACCTTCCGCTCCTGCGAGGACACATTCTCCTGCTCCTCCTCTGCCAGCACTTCGACCTCCTCAATGATGTCTTCCGCCAGCAGCTGGTGCGCTCGCTGATCCCCACCACCTCTCCCCTCGAGGGCTGCGCCTGCCTCCACTGCCTCCCCGCCGAAGAAGGCAGCCTCCTCGCCGGGTGGGCCACCTGCTGCCTGCAACATCCTCCACGGCCCCACCACGCTGGCAGGTCTCACGGCCCCGGAACCCGGAATGCTCGGGCTCACCCCGAAGAAGACCCAGGGTCTGCATGAGCAGCAGGACCCAGGGAAGGATGATTCTGACAAAGGTGCTTAATTCAGCGTGCCTCAGTGAGCATCACCTCAGTCTCGCATGCTGTCAGCAGAGCTGCTCTGAATGAAACTAGGACACATGAAGTCCCCAGGCCTGCGGTCTCAGCCTGTCCGCTGCTACCCGCATAACCTGCATGCAGGCTCTGCACCCAGCGGCATGAGCCTGAGCTTCCCCGCAGGGGAAAGGAGAGGGTCCTGGCCTCTACACGGATCTGCGTTCAGGCCTCACCACCTGATCCCCTCACAAACTCTGTCCCTCGTCACATAACCTCTCATGGCCGGACCTTCCTCTCGGCGGTAGTGCTGCAAGGGATGGACTCACATGCTCTCGGCAGTGATCTGCTGGCCACACGAGGGAGGTGCGCATGGGGCTGACCAGACCCTGACCCTCCCATAGGCACCGAGGACCACAACCTCAATCACCCATTCTGGGGAGGCCCAGTGAGACCCCATCTCTGCAATCCTGTTCCATCCCGGACACTTGTGGTCCAACAACCAGTTGAGGAATTTCATGCTGCTGGTGTGCAGCCTGAGGCTGCGAGCTCCCCATCCATCATCACAGAACCAGTGGACTGGAAAGGAAGTGCATGCCCTGTATCCTGGAGGAGGACTGGGCAGACGGGGAAGATTCAGGTAGGAGGAGCATCCGCTCCCTCTCCCACCCACCCACACCCCCCTGGGGGCCAGGTCATGCCAGCCATGGCAAAGCGGTGCTCCTGAACGAGCTCTCTGTTCCTGAAGTCCGGGGTTGTCCCGAGAACAAAGTACCAGGTAGCAGCGGGACTGGGGATGGCCTAGTTCCTGCACTTGCCAGGACCAGGAGGGTGGAGAAGGTGAAGGTGCAAGCTCCTCGGGTCCTCAGGCATCAACACCTTCCGTTTTTCCTTTGCAAAGGCTCGCAGCGGACGCACACACCCGGTAACAGGATCCCCCCCCTCCGCCCCCTGCAAGCCCGACGTGCCTGTCCAGCTGCGCCACCCTTGTGTCCTCAGGCTCCCTCCCTGCCCTTCAAGTCCATCATGTCATGTCGCTCAGCACGTCTTTGTCCTGGTTGCTCATCATGCTGGGCATCTGGCGGGGGTTCATAAATCTGCTATCGGTCAAGGAGCCAGTGGGGCCACATGCCGGGCAAGCAGGAGTCTCGAGTAACAGGATTAGCCTCGGGCAGGGTAAGAACACCGGAACAGGCATCTGTGGCAAGGGCTCTGGGTACTCCCGCTTGCCTAGCACATAACCCTTCTCTGCCCACACCCCTTCTCCTGAAGCCAGCGTTCCCACCTGTCTTCACACTTCCCCCAACCACTACCATTCTTTCTCCCCTCTCTTGTTTTCGCCAGGTGGCCAGGGTAACCGTGAGGGTGAATAATCACATTCAGTCAAAGTTGCCTAAAAAAACTCTGAAACCTCACACTACAACGAAGCTTAAGAAAATCAGAGGCTCAAAGCTCTGTAGCCAGTGTTCCAAGTTGGATGAGGAGCTGAATGAAAACTAATCAGAGGCGGTCTCAGGGACCCTGTAGACCCCTGCTTTTCCAGCTAATCAGAATGAACCAGAGGAGGCCCCAGAGACTGTGGAGTCCCCTGTTATTCTCACTAATCAGAACGAACCAGAGGAGGTCCCAGAGACCATGGAGACCCCTGCCATTCCAGCTGGACCAGTGGACAGCCAGTGACTTTGGAGTATGGCTAGAGACCTCAGATGCTCGGGGGTCTCTCCGCTGAGTACTGACCAACAGTACAGATGTGGAGTATTATAGGAACTGCATACATTAATAATTAAAATAAAATCAAATCAACCTGATATGAAATTATGTTTGTCTCTGAGTTCTCTGATAGTGGGGGTCAGAAAGGGCAGGGAAGGGATAAGTGTGTGAAGAGGGAAGGGGACTGGTTCTGTGGAGTTGGAGATGGGACCAGAAGGTCCAGGTTGCCAGAAAGTAGGGGGAAGAACTGGTTCCAGACCGAGCTTCAAAGACACACTTCCCATGGGAGAAGAGGAAGAGGACTTGGTGTTTCTCTGAGTGAGTGCAGAGATGGAAACTTAGCTGGGGAGCTGTGTCGTGTGTGGGGTGGCCGTGCCATTTGCTAAAAAGGCATACAAAGGAGCTGCCCCATCAAAAGAAGGGAATGTTGACATTTGCAGCAACATGGGAGGTGGAATATTGAGTAAAATAACACAGAGATAGACAAATACTGTGTGATATCACTTATAGAATCTAAAATACCGCAAAGTAGAGAATATGATACAAACGGAGGCTCACAGATATAGAGAACCATCTACTAGTTACCAGCGGGGAGGGGAAGAGGGAGGGGCAACAGTGGTGGGGGAATGGGAGGCACGCAGTGTTAGTTAGGTATAAGATGAGCTCAAGGATTCATTGCATAACATGGGGAATAGAGCCAGGACTTTGTAATAACTATAAATGGAAAGCAAACTTTACCAATGGTATAATAAGGAAGGAAAGGAAGGAAAGAGGGGGGAGGAAGGAGGGAAGAAAGGAAGGAAAAGAGTGGCGTTTTGGGAGGTCAAAAAGCCAATTTGATTAGGCCCTTTTTAGCCAAGGAATTTATTTTTTTTAATTTATTTATTTTAATTGGAGGCTAATTACTTTACGATATTGTGGTGGTTTTTGCCATACATTGACATGAATCAGCCATGGGTGTACATGTGTTCCCCATCCTGAACCTCGCTCCCACCTCCCTCCCCATCCCATCCCTCTAAACCCCATCACATCTCCCTCCTCCAGGGGGAGGCTCCTCCTGCCTCCACGGCCTCCCCTTGCAGAAGGCAGCCTCCTTGCCTGCTGGGCCACCTACTGCCTGCAACCTCCCTGAGGGCCCCACTGCACTGGCAGTTCTCAGGGCCTCGGCACCCTGAATGCTCGGGCTCACCCCGGAGAGGACCCAGGGACGGAGGATTCTGACAATGGTGCCTGAATCACCCTGCCTCCGTGAGCATGGCCTGGGTCTCGCATGCTGTAAGCAGAGCTGCTCTGAATGAGACTAGGATGCATGATGTCCCCAAGCTTCCAGTCTTGGCCTGTCACCTCCTACCCGAATGACCTGAAGCCAGGCTCTGATCCAGGCGGCATGAGCTTGAGCTTCCCCACTGGGGAAAGGATAGGGTCCTGGCCTCTCCACGGATCTTCCTTCAGGCCTCACGATCTGATCCCTTCACAACCTCTGTGCCTCGTCACTTCCCACTCACGGCAGGACCTTTCCACCTGAGGTAGTGCTGCAGGGGATGGACCCACAGGCCCTGGCCAGTGACATGCTGGCCCCACAAGGGATGTCCCGATGGAGCCGACTGGGCCCTGAGCCCTCCCAGGGGCCACTCTCCCAGAATCCCGACCTCAATCTCCCTGTCTGGGGTCACCCAGGGAGACCCCACCTCTGCAATCTTCTTCCATCCCGCAGAGTTGTGGTCCAACAACCAGTTGAGAACGTTCCGGCTGCGGGTGTCCAGCCTGAGGCTGGGAGCTCCCCATGCGTCATCAGAGAACCAGTGGACTCAAGAGAAAATACATGCCCTATATTCTGGAGGAGGACCAGGGAGACAGGGAGGAAGATTCAGGTAGGAGCATCTGCTCCGTCTCCCAAATACCCACACCACCCTGGGAGCCAGGTCGTACCAGCAGTGCCAGAGTGGTACTCCTTAATGATCACTGTATTCCTGAAGGACAGGGTTGTCCTGGAAGGACACCAGCTTGCAGCGGGACTGGGGAGGGCTACTTCCCGCACCTGTCAGGACCAACCAGGGGGATGGACAAGGTGAATGTGCAAGCTCTCAGTTCCTCAGCTTGCCTGCCAGGCAGGCATCAGGATCTTGCATTTTTCCTTTCCAAAGGCTCAAACCCAATGCAAGCACCCGGGTTATAGGAACCCCCTCCCCCACGTGCCTGCCTAGCGCCCCACCCACCTGCCCTCAGGCTCCCTCCCGGCCTTTCAACTCCGTCCTGTTTTTCTGTCTTTGTTTACATCTGCTGGGACCCCTTCCTCTGGGGGGTGCAGTTAGGAGTCCCTGGTGGCCTTCAGGTGCTGTGTTCACAGAGCCACCAGTGCAGATCATCTGGAATCAGCACTTGTGCACCTGGACCTGCCATGGATGCAGGGAGCAGCTCAGGCCTGCCCCGGCCCCCATGTGCACCCAGAAAGCCCACAGCTGCTAGGCCCAACCTGTCCCAGCCACGGAGCCCCAGCTGTCCACTTCCGTGTTCTGAATGTGCCACTTGGACAGAGCCAGAGGCAGTGGTAGAGATCAGCCCTTGGCACAGCCACAGGAGGCTCATTTCAGCTGTTCCTCTGTGGGTGAGCACCCTGCTGGTGCTGGAGTGCTCCCAGAGCTCGTGGAGCCAGTGCTGTGCTGGATGAGAGAGGTAGAGCCTAATGGGCGCCCCACTCTGCCCTTCACACACCCCTTAACTTCGGATCTTTGCTTCTACAATGGCCGGGGCATCTTCCATGCCACCCCAGTTGTGTGGCTGTGCCAGAATTCAGCCCTTCAGGCTCTTCTTGCAGCCAACCACAGTCCTCTCCTTGGGCCTGCCCTCTCAAACCAGCAGGTACACGTCTCAGGCTGGAGACAGTAGCACAGAGCCACTCTCCTGGGATCTCTGTTCTGCCTGCTACGTGCTCTTCTGAGTCTCTGAAGACCCCCTCTCTGTCCCAGCTGGTCTCCCCTTTGGAGAAGGCCTATCCAGGGGGCTGGAACCTGTCCTCTTATCAGAGCTTCTTCCCAGGCTGCCGGGCCCGTCCTTCTTCCCTTTTTATTCCCCCTTTCATCCTACTGTGTCACATGGAGATCTTTCTAGTGCTCTTTGGTGCCTGATATTTCCCACCAGGAAGTATTGTGAGAACAGTTCCATGTGCAGATGTATTTGTGGGAGGAGGTGAGTTCCATGTCCTTCTGCCATCTGAATTCAAAGTCTCGTACTTGTCTACACAGAGGTATGATATGATCCTGCTCTTGTTCCAATACCAAGTGGGCTGTCTTCAGTGGCATCCTTGTTTCTTCAACCCGTTTGCAAAGTAAGACAGTGGAGACCAGCCACACCAGCTCACTGTGCACTGGAAATATGCTTGGTGTGAAAGATGGGCTCAACCGTCAATCATAGTTAACGTTAACTTTAAAAAAAGCCCTATATTTAAAATAACTTGGGTATGTAAATCTACTTTTTGAACTGTAAGTGGTGTGAAATCTGAAATATTTTTTAAAAAATTTAAAATATATTACTTACTAATGAAATAACACTTTGGATATGTGTAGAAACTAAAATCTAAGAGCATTTTTATTGTGGCTACTAGAAACTTAAAATTACACATGTGGTCAACATTATACTTCTACTAAATCTTGAGTCAGACCAAACAGGACAAAAAAGACTTCCTTTCTTATGAGAAATAATTTTATAACCTAATCGACCTAACAAGTTGATTTATCTTTTTCTTGAATCTTCATATGTAATGTCCTCTGATCCTCCAAGTCACTGTTCAGCAGCTGTGCAGGCCTTGGAGTTTTTAAGGAGTATTTCTTGGCAGCTCTTGAAAAAACACTCACTGAAAGGTTAATCAAGTTAGTCAGACTTGCATGGTGCTTAAACAAATCCATTTCTTCACTGAAGACTAAACAGATGCATAGACTCTACCTAGAGGCTTTTATGCCATTATCATGTTCACTTTTCTTCAAGGGTATAAGAAGCAGGCTCATAGTCTGTATACTGTGCAATCAACATTTTGTGTCAACTCATGAAACTCCTCTGTACTTTCAGGACCTTACTGTTACTAAATTTATTCACATTAACATTCATCCCACTTGTGGTTCATGAGAAGACAGTCAGTTCTATAGGTAGGTTTGTTTGCTTAGGTACAAAAGTAGGAACTAAAAAGGACACACATTGTGAGATAGTCTGTTAAAGATGCACGTGCCAACTGGGTGTGTTTTAAAGAGCTTTATAGATTGATGTTTCTAGGAGACCATCAGCGTGTCATCCATGTGTGCTGAGAGACTTAACAGTGCCCACATGGTAAGAGACGGGTCACGGGAAAGTCACCACAGTTCAGGGCCTAGAGCACAGGTGAGGTCGCACGTATGGAGCCTCACTTCACAACTGTGACACTGAGTGGTGATTTGCAGGACTAACTCCACGTGGCTCCAGGTCAGAGCTGGGAGGACATCCCACGTAACTAAGCGACGCCTGAGCCTTAAGGCAATGCTGACAACTCCTGTGACGTGGAAGTCCTAACGTGTTTAATGCACGTGCTCCACCTAAACTGCTTTCGGGAATTAAACTGCAGAGATTACACAACTGGAGAACAGACTAGAGCCAATTACAGCTCCCTCTACGAAAACACTTCAGCAGTTGCCGTGGAGGCAAATTCAGTGTCTGAGGAACACACTGATGGGCGGTGACATCGGGGCAGGGCTGAACCTCTGTGACAGCACTGGTCTTGAGTATACTAATAACCTGTGTATATTAAACACACTCGTATGTCAGTAGTCACTGCTAAGACGATGGTCTCCACTTACATTTTTGTACCTACAACCCGACAGGAAGTGTATTAGAACCATATCTGGAACAAAAGCAGGAGAGATGTGGGTTTCTGTGGTATTAATGACTCTGGCTGGTCTGTGCCTGTGGTAATAACTGCTAATGTTCTGAACATAGCTCTGCTCAGGGGTCTATGTCTCACCTTGATAGAAAATGGCTACCTTCCAGAAATTACTTCCACAGGAAAAAATTCTACTAGAAAATATTTTGCCTTGAAATTACTTAAAATGTGATCCAGCTTAATGAAAACCCTACAAACTATACAGAAAATATGTCACAATAAATGGTCACTCAATTCTAAGTTCAAAAGTATATTAATTTAAAATGTGGGAAAATTTTTGATATAAAAGAAAAGAGTATAAGAAAAATAAAAGTACAAAATGTTTCAAATCTTCAACATCCATAATTTAGAGATAGCAAGGTCTTTATTTGCATAATTTTATTTTCAGCTAAAGTTCCATTAACAGTGTTGTGAAAACATTTAAAAGCCTGACAAATGAATCATAAAACCAATGTGCGCTCTTAAAAGTCATATAATACAAAATATGATTTATGTTTCCTCAGAATAATATTACACATCTTAATAAGATGCAACATATTTAATATATTTGTCTTCCTGCATAAAAACGCTTGTCTCAAAGAAAGTAGCTGAAAAACAAGGGCATCTGAGGGAGTAGGGCCGAGGGCAAGCCCACACTGCTCCTGGCACCAGCCCAGGTGCATCAGTTAAATTTATATGCAGGCGTGTTGAGGAAAACAAGTTCCCACAGCAGTGTGGACCAGTGTCAACACCCAACAAGGTCCCCGAGTTCAGATTAAGAGCCCCAGGTGCCCGAAGCCCCACCACAGAAAACCAGCCCCTCCCACATGCCAGGCCCTGCAGCACAGGCCACCACCTGTGGCAGAATGACGTGTCTGCTCTCAGGCTGCAGACATGAGGAGAGGCCCAAGAGGTCACCCACAGATTGCTCAGGTAAGCTTTACACCAAGTCTTCCTTCCACAAGGAAAAGCAGTGCAGAACAGGCATTCAGATCTAAACATGTAGGGTGGGAAAGAGCCTGGAAAGATGTAAGAGCACCTACTCTAGAAGAACAGTCTACGAAATTCAATGGGCCTCTCAGCGGTTCTATCACTAACCCTGGCCAATAGTGCCCTAACCTGCGGGCTCATGGAGCGCATGCAGCTCTGACACTAAAGATGAGAGGGGCCCACCCACCGCCTTCTGAAAGGATATGACTCATAGTCCAGTGTCTGAGTGAGCACACCAGTGAGAACAAACTCTGCATTGTGAACATCTGCAAGGAACATAGATAAAACCTGTCAAATAGACACACCTGCCCATACCCATGCATGCCAACACACAGCAGAGAAATGAACATACCTATTCCTCTGGCAGAATACTCTTGACACAAGTGAAGGTCATTTTCACAGGCTATTAAAATTATTTCTGACGAACTCTAAGGAAAAGAAAAGCAGATTCTTGGTTACTGAGCCTCATATATGACATTGATGCATTCAGCAGTGTTTCACTTCTGTGCACCTTATCCTGTTTATGTTCCATGAGTTTCCTGATAGATGGTTCTTTAGACAAAACTTCGCCTCCTGCACATTTCACAATCGCTTTCATGGCTGATAGACTTGGGCAGATCCCAGGAGTGATGTAAAAGTATTTCGCCTAAAAGTGAAAATACGTGTACTGGTTTCAAACTGAATCTTCAGTGTGCGTAATTTCTCATTCTACCCAAGAATTTTGACAAAATGACTAATTTCATGGAGCTACACGGTACTAGACCCCCCGTAGTCCCCAACCTCAAGTGGGCCTGGTGGAACCCAGACAAGAAATTTCAGAAATAAGCACTCTCATAAGCTAGGTGTGACCTATAATTATTAAAAAGTGGCTAGAACTTTAATTCCTGTAAGACATGAAGTATTCTGTGATAAGAGAAAGAATAAGAACATTTTTCACAATTTCTAAAGCTCAAATGGAGCACAAACTGATTTTGATGGTTAAAATTTTCTAACACCCTTACTCTTAAATGTACCAAAAGTACAATTTTGTTTTAAACTCCTCAAACGTTTAGAAAAACACAGACTATTTTAGGTAATGTACTCTTAACTCAGTACAGAAAATCTCTTTGGATTCCTAATTTGGCTCCTTAAGAGCAAAACAAACAAACAAACAAAAAACCTGCCTCTATTAATCTACTAAGTCACTGATCCAAAAAAAATTTTCCAAACTGTTCTTAGAAACATTTAAACACTGTAGTCCAGAATTATTAGACACATATTCAGTTAATATTTTCTCAAGAATGGTCTCTATTTTCCAGCTGAATATACATTTTATGAGAATAGTATTAATGTAAGTTGGTAAAAGCAAACATAAAATGTAAATCTCTTACACACTATTCATAGCATACTCTTTGAACCCGGGTTATTTTTAATGCATCTCTCTCCATATCGATTCTCTTAGACACGGAACACACCCTAGAGGAGGCCTGACTGCACAGGGGGAGTGGGGAGAGCCCAGCTCTCTGGGTGCAAGCCGCCCGCTCCGTCATGGTTGCCCAGCTGCAGCAGCTGATCTGAGCTCCAGTCCAGGCATACCTTGAAAAGCGGAGAAACGTGGGCCCTCCTCAAGGACTCCTCCAAACTGAAGGAGAAAAGCACTTCGGCCTCTGCATCTCGGAGAAGGTAGTTCTGCTTGTCTGAAAAGGAAGACAGTACAGCCTCAGAAAGTGCCTGGCACTGGGGTACACCACATGTGACTGGCTCCAGGTGCCCCAGTGAGCCATGTGCTGACATCCACCTGTGAAACTTGTGAATGAGTAAGTCTCCCAGATTATATTTCATTTATTTTCCTCCCAAAAACAGCCGGCCAGGCCAAAGACACTCTTCCTCCCTCCTGGATCAGTGTTTCTTAGCTTTTAGGAACAAATGTCCTGAAAGCCATCCATGGACCCTCCTCTCATCCCTGGGCAGCTCCCCACCTCCCCCTCAGCTGTGCCTTCACACTGTTGGGGGGCCAGAGCACCCCAACCCAGACCCAGGTGAAGAGTGCCCATGTGGAGGGACAGGCTGGGAACCAGGTTCATGGCCAGCTTGTGCTCACAAGGACCAGTGACTTCAGAGCCACTGGACTCCAACTGAGAGTCGATTAGCCACATTTTACAGATGTACCAAAAACAAGTTCCTTTTATGCACGTATAAATACATCAATTTATAAAGAATGGTTTTACCAGATTTTGAGGATCTAAGAATTTTTAAATAATACCCAATTTTTCAAAAAGTAAAGATCACAAAGTATTTTCATCTTCTTATGAAAACATCTCATTCAGAAAAGCATTTCACCACCATAACCAAACTAACAGTCCAGGGTCAGGCTGAGTCAGAGGACAAGCTGTAGGGCTGACAGGCCACACGGTGGGTCTGTCATTTGCCCTTCTCATTTTTAACAATGTCTTAAAAACGAGAAAACCATTCTCAGCTCAGAGAGCATAGTTGCTGTCTCCATCAGGTCACTCAGGAGACACTGAGATTTAACAACTGCCAGAAATGCAAGTCCATCAGCCACCAGCAGAAAAAGAAGGCACTACACTAGGTGAAAGAAGAGAACAATGTCTAAAAAATGAAGTTAAGAAATGAACAAAGAAGTATTGTCATGCGTGAAGTTACATACTTGAATGAAGTGATGTATCTGAAATGCTAGTTTCTACAGCAGAATGAAGGTTGCTGTGCCTGCTGAAGAGCTGTGAGGGATGACAGGAAGCAGTCTGTTTAAGGTGAGAGATGACACTGAAATGAACACAGTAGCTACAACAACCCTGGGTTTCTAAGAGGAGAAGCTGAGTTACATTAACTTGGTCGGAGTTGTGGCAAGAGTCAAACTTTCCAGAGCAGTGTAAAGGGCATGTGTATTCCAGAAAGAAATAACCTATACAATTGGTGTCTCAAACTATATAGATATAAATACAAAATGTCAAAATACCCCTCCCCCATGATAGGGAGCATCCAGTCATAAAGCTGTCAGAGCCCAGGCGGGGGCGGTGTGCTGCAGGGGTGGGAGGGCAGGGGTGGCCAATGGTGGCTGACTACATGGGACTCCTCCAGGAATGTATCATCCTGTATGTATCATCAGGGAAACAAGGCAGGGCTACAGAGCTCTTCCCCAGTACTTCCCCAATTACCACAACCTTCCTATCTCACAGTAAAATGCAAAGATATCAAATGCCTCCCTGGAACATGAAATAATTTGTTATTTATGCATTTAAATTCACCGAGTTAAAAAATGAACTTGATGTGTGCTGGGATGAAAATGGAGACAAATTTCAAGGCAAAAACCCTCCTAACTGGGCATCCAGTGGACAAGGTGTGGCTCGGCCACTTACCGATGAACTTCTGGCACTTGAAGCACTCCTCCAGCCACTCTGGGGTGA